AGGTGCTGCCGTATCGGGCGCTTTAGATTGATTTTCAGGGCCGGTGTTTGAGCGCTGGCTGTAACAAAAATGCTAGCTTACGGTCTTGAAATAAAATACAGCAAACGACTGATGTCATTCAAAGCAGCCACTCAACATCCACCCGCGTCCCTCGGCAGATCAACGGCGAGTGCACGGGCCCGGTGCAGGACTTTACACCGGAGGAGGTGATCTCCCACAAGGACTACAACAGCCCCGAGAGGTTCTGGAACGACATCGCGCTTATCCGGCTCGACAGGCCCTACGACCAGGCGCTCGGCTGTGAGTGGTATAATGAATAACAGGGTAGTGACGATGAGCATTGTAGAAAGGTTGTAGATGCTATGCTTAGATGTAATGTAATCGAAAACAGGTCGGAAAATTACCAGACTATAACAAATATGACCATGACAAATGTTTTCATTAGTCTGCTTTAGTTTTAGCCGAAAGACTGTGTAGGAGGGTATTTCATGCGCACATCCCTAAATAAGATGAGATTCAACCATGGGCAAATAATTTGCAAGCTCACCATAAAACCTACAAGCTCGGTCATGCCTTACGACGCTAACATGTTTTATCGTCGGGGGCCCGGGAACGATTTTCGAGTTGGGGGGCGAGCCTAAAATACCTGACATGATGCCTATGAAGCAGTGGCGTAGTTAGGGGTCTAAGGGGACACGTACCCCCCCCCCCTCCCCACCCCCCACCCATCGGGTTCAAAGGGACCCTCGGGTCCGAGAGGCCCTGCGGCGCCATTTGACCGCGCGCTGAGGGTTAACAACGATGGCCATATTTCGACTAAGAAGGGCCCCATAGGTCTCGTTACAGCACCTCATTGGCCCTAAATAACCACACTAAGATCTCCACAAGGGCCCCACGCCGGCTTCTGAGGGAATCTTGCAGATTTTAAGGGCCCCTCGGTGGTCTCCAAAGGCCCGTTACTGGGCTCTGAGAGTTCTTACCGGACTATGAGGGGCCAGTTCTAGGGGCATTCCCCGCCTGTGATGGTCACACACTTATTTTTCCGAGGGTCCCATAACGGCAACTAAGGGGGCCCTCATCGGCGACTATGAGGGCCCACACCAGTGTCTCTGAGCGTTTCACACCCCCAACTCTGAGTGCCTATTAAAGCCCTATATCGGCGGCTCTGACTTCTGAGGACCCAACTGTCAACACCTGCGCATCTAAAGCCCACCCACTGGAAACTTTTGAGGGCCCACACCGGTGACTCTGAGCCCTGAGGGCCCCACCGGCGTCTGACAGTAGCCGGTCTCTAAGGACCCCACAAGACTTCTTCTGCCGGCCTAAGGGCCCCGTGCCGGTCACTGAGAACCCCCTGTTGGCTTGTAGAGGGTTCGCGTCAGCAGCTCTAAAGACCCCACACCCGTCTGTAACGGCTCCACACCAGCGTCTATATGAGGGCCCAGAGCAACGCCTGTAAGGACCCTCACCGGCGCCTCTGAGAGAATCACACTAGCACCTCTGAGCGCCCGAACCGGCATCTGCATGGCGGCCCTATACCAGGGCCTCTAAAGGCCCCTTACCGGCGGCTATGAGGGCCCTATACGCCGGTGATTCTGAGGGTGCTACCGATAACCGAAGGCATCACACAAGCCCTTAGTGTCGCTTAGCTTTAATCCCATAGGTACCGGCCTTCCGAGGGCTCCACGTCAGTGCACTCATTGCTCCACACCCCTCCCTCACACCCGGAGCGGGTAAACTGTGTTATACCTGTATTATAGCAACGATTTTACCACCGTTGTACGCTATGTATTTCTCGAAGTTGAATCAGCATGGTCTAGTATAAAATCTGGCCTGCCAAACTCATGGCCAAGGCCAGGCCCAAACCAAACCAATAGCAGATGTTGTGAAATCGATACTGTACCAGTAAAACGCCTTTTGGGCGACCAACGGAGCGAGCGAGAGGATGGGCCTTGCACGTGCGAAATTGCGAGGGGGTACCTCCAACTAACTTGTGCACTGCACCCTACTAACCGGTCTTTAGCGATGTGCCAAATTTCAGCGCAATCGGCCTAGCCGTTCTCGAGATCTGGAAGCGGCACACTGCACGTGCGCACGTGCAAGCGGGGTCCAAACTGACTTTTGCACGGCACCCTACTAACTGGTCCCCAACCGTCTACCAAATTTGAGCGCAATCGGCCCAGCCGTTCTCGAGATCTGGGAGCGCCCCCTGCACGTGCGCACGTGCTGTAGCACCCCAACCTTAACACATGCAGATGAACTATCTGATGGAGACCTAACTGTGTACCGAGTTTCAATTCAATCGGCCCAACCGTTGTGCCGTTATTGAGGTTGCAATTTTGGGGGTTCTTAAAAAATGTCCAACTTTACCACGCGCCACGTGCGGTGGTTGGGAAGAACGCATGGTGGCCATCACACCACAGAACTTTTACGTCCAAGTGACATTCAGTAAAGAAGACCGCTTGTCAATCGGATGTCCCGTTCCTAAGATATTAGCTTTTGAAGAGCGTCCCCACGGCCGGCCGGCCGGCCGGCCGCTCATACTCAGGATTTTCCCTTAATTCAGTATGAGACTCCGCTCGCTTCGCTCGCTCCGTAATCAGCAGAAACCATTCAGATGGCTAGGAAAATGCCGTGTGATGATGCTTAGATGTATAAAGAAAATAAGAAGGAAAGAAGTCCGGAAAAGGGAGGAAAGATCCTTTCACGCTGCCTCAATGTTGAGAGGGCGCCGCCCCCTCGGCTCTCAAGTTGGGGGGGGGGGGGCAAGCGCCCCCGCTGCCCCCCTGTTCCCGGGTCTATGTTTATCGTGGTCATTCGTGATACAACTTTCCTCGCAATCATGCCTCGCTCGTGCCGTCACTGTTTGCTGACAAAGCGTGTCTCCGTTTTCAGCGGCCATCCGCCCCATCTGCCTGCCGTTCGGAAGCTTCGGAAAGGACCCACTCGATGACAAAAAGTTCGTGGTGGCTGGATTCGGACTGACGGAAGCATGTAAGTTGATGGTACTCGAGCCATTGAAACTTATTACACATCTTGGAATACGTTTTGAGGTAGATGTCATAATACGAAGCGGAATAAAGCACAACTGATCGGCGAATGCTAGGTACAAATAACCTCAGCTGTAGGTACTTGCTTTCTTTTCTGCTAAGGCCTAACAAACAACTAGCTCAATGAGGAGAAAATGTCGCAATCCCTCGACAACTGATGCTGATGTCAACCTGAGCCGCCGACATCTGACCGCCCCCCCCCCTCCCCCCCTCAGTCGGCGACTCCAGTAACGTCATGATGAAGGTCAACGTGCCTCTGTTCGACGCCAACAACTGCTCGCAAGTGTTCCGCCGCAACCAGGCCAAGATCGGGCCGACTCAGCTGTGCGCCGGCGGGGCGCGCGGCCAGGACTCGTGCTCGGGAGACTCTGGCGGCCCCCTGATGGCCACCACCCGATTCGGACCGCCCTACCACGCTGTCGGAGTCGTCTCGTTCGGTGTGACCCGCTGCGGCACGGCCAATGTGCCCGGCGTGTACACGCGTGTCTCAGAGTACCTCAACTGGATCATGGATAACATGCGGCCCTAGAAGGGCGTAAAAAGGGTAGAGAGAGGAGGGAGGAAAGAGGATGGAGGGAGAGCGGGTAGAGAGGAGAAGAGGGAGAGGGATGTAGGGGATGTCAAGTGGTATGATTGTAGCGGAGAGACATATTGGGAGGGTAAGACACGGTAATGTCAGGACAAAATGAAAAGGGAAGTTGGAGAGGTAACGAGAGCGTGTGTGTCAACGATATGTGTGCGAGCGAGAGAGAGAAAAGGAAAAGAATGGAACGAAGGCAGAATACCTGCACTAGGCACATAACAGCGAAGGGAGGCATCCTCCGTTCTGTGAGAAAAGAGATAAAGATAGAGGAGTAAAATAGAGACAAAGCTCCCATACTGTGACGCTGTCACCCTGTCCTGTGCGACCTCTGCGTTATCAGATAACTGTGTGCCTGTGCTGCCCGGGGAAGATACGACGACGCGCGCTGAACGAGGTATCGTGCTGTGTAAATATCTGAGGAGAATCGATCTGAGTCTACGTCTTATGGATTGCGATATTGTTCGGCGATATAACCATCGATGGAACCCACATATAGAGTGAGTTGAGTTTGCACTCTTCGAGCGTGAAGCTAGCAGGAGTACTCAATAACGACCTCGATATTCAAGCGAGCCGGTTTCATAGCTGATTTTTTTTTTTTTTTTTTTACTATCACGCATGCCGATTTTTTATTGGAGGTTGCTATGCAACACAGGTTAGGTCCGCGTTCACACAGCAGCATTGCCTAGAGCACTGCGCAGTGCTTCAGTCATTGTGTGCAAACGCGCACTTCTCTGCTGGTGCAGGTCTGTGGGCTGCTTCGGCTTGGTTCTACGAGTGCGTGCGTTCATAGCAAACACATCATAATACATCTCTTAGATCCTACTGCTTTTGTTGATGTGAGGATGTCTTGCTGGGACTCTCGGCCGCTGGGAAGTGGAGCGGGAAGGATGGGATATCACACTCGGTAGTCTCATGACTTGGTGGCCGTGAGCTCAAGACGGGTGCGTACAGTGTGCACCCCGTGCAGGAGTGAGACAAGTCAGCTGGCGTCCGGACATTCAATATGTCTGAATTATGCATGAACCTATCGAGAAGTCTGCAGATCGAACGAAGCATATTGTCGCAAGGGGCTATGTCTGAGCGTAACCTGAACAATGCCATTTTCTTACCCACTTTCACCGAACTTGCAAATCGATAAAATAAATCATCCCGCCAGTAAGATAAATTAAATTATAATTTTATGAAGGTTTACCGGTAAGAAAATAGGATATTTGTTTTACGGCAATTACGTGGGCCGGCTATGAGTTACCTAAGAGAGAAACCACAATATTTTTTGTGACAAGTACATCTTCCCTCTTCAATCACCGTCTTTAGTGAAGTTATTTTGCGCTGTTCGTCCCAACTCCCGCTGCCCCACAGTCGACAGCATCCGTTATAGCGGTTATATTTGTAAACCAGACAGTATAGTTCCGTAAAGCCTCGCCTCAACAAACCTCGGCCGCGGCCAGCGGACCGAGGGGACCCCCCCCCCCCCAAGAGGAATGCCACCTATCTCACCAGCGGGTTATGTACACTTTATACAGAGACGCCGTATAGACATGTGCAAACACTACTCTACAGCCTGCCAATCGAGCGCGCCGCAATAAATAGCTCATTAAAAACGCCTACCAGCTATACGGAAACAACGAAACTGCCCGCTGGCGGGCCTGGTCTTTTGTTCGTCCCGCTAGAAGGCAACAAAGTCCGCCAGCCAACACTCTGATTATCACTTGAATACATCAAAATAGGTAACCAAACGGGACCCGGCCGGCAACCGGTGCGGCCGCCCGAACCAAACGGTGCCACCGGGCCGGCGGAAACCGCCCGTCCCGAGCGGCAGCCCCGCCCGACCCGCGGACGGGGCGGGCGAGACCGGGAAAGCGCCATCTCTATTGCGTGTCGACCCATCACAGATTCTGACCAACGCTGAACGGCGGAACGTTTCAGTGTATGAGTGGAAGTGTGTGTGTGTGTGTGCTACCAACTATGGTGTCATCTACCTAACGCTTACAAACGGGCTCAAAGCGCCCCAACGCGGCACCACAACACGAATGACGCGACAACACGCGATGCAGAAGCAACAAGTCACGCCGACTCGCGACGAATTCGCCTACAGTTTGTAACAAACAAGTCGTTATCTGCGATTTTGATGACCGTTTCTTCACCGCCGCCGCCATCTCGCGCCCCGGCTCTCGAGCTCGGGGTCCTGACAGCGCGCGCGGGCCCCCGGCGGCTGCGGATTTCGATGTGCGATCCTGTTGATGACGGCGGTGGTGCTGGTCCACAGAAGAGACTGAGAGCGGCAGAGGCAGCCGTGCAGGACAGGGGAAGGATGCAGTCACTTGCTGAAGCGGAACAGAGGAGAGCGCCAGTCTGCAGTCAGGCTATATAGAGGGCAGGACCAGTGCACAGCGACGGCAAGCGGTGGCGACAGGATATTGAGACTGCCAGACCGAATCTATCGGCACTGCATTCTGCCAGGCCGGGGAGGACTGAGACCGGGATACGGCACGGACAGAGGACAGACACAGGGAGCGGACAGCGGACACCGAGCAGCGCCGACCGCCCGGCCGCCGGGAGGGACAGAGCGGGGAGAGCGCGGACAGAGAGCACGGGAGGAGCCGCCTTACGCGTTCTTCAGCAGACTGTTGGCCCGGTCGTTGGCCAGCTTCAGACGGGCCTCGTTCGACTGGCTCTGTAACAGCGGCGGGGCGCGGGTCAGAGGCCGAGACACGGCGCGGGTGGTGACGGACGGCGGCAGACGCGACACTCGCAGCAGTGTGAGCAGAGTACACAACACGGACAGATCTCCGAAAAACAACAGCTGGCTCACGGGCAGCCCAGTGACAATATGAAACAGACTGAACATTGCTCGCCTTCAGAGACTGAACAGTTGCATTAGGTCTGCTACAATATACCAGTAATTACAATCATTTGAGAACAGATAATGAACAAACAATCCACAGTCAACAGCTAGTCTGTCGGCGTAGGTCAGCGACTATGCTAAACGGGTTCAGGAACGGCAGGGCTCTCTGAAGCATGTGCAGCACGACGAACATACCAGCACGTGGACGGATACACTGATACACACATGCACTGAGGACCAGACGATAACGCGATAAGCGAAGCGCTAGGGAAGCACATGCAGCGAAAGCGCAGGCAACTGACGTCACACGTAACGGGTTAGAAAGGGGAGACAACTACGGGCACAAGAAGCCACAGAGGACGAGAGGCAGCGGGGGCAGCGACACGCTACGCTGAGGTCTAGTAAGGGGTGGAATTGAGTGGGCCAGAAATACCGCCAGTTGTGAGATGAAGGCTGTCTAGTGCTGGGCAGTGGGCACGGACAGGGACCTTGTACGGCACGGGGGATTCGACATCATTGACTAGCCACAGTACGGGCCGTTCGGGGGATCGGACAGGTTGGCGTGGCGCACTGTCTTAAAGAAGACCTAATGACCTGGTTTCAATCTACCGTGATAACCTCATGCAGACGCGGGATGGCCGTCCAATCGTTTTTATGTATTATGCAGAAGTTTTGGAACTGTTGTCCGTTTTTATCATCAGATAAATTTCAAGCAACGTCAATTAACTATTGGCTATTGTGACAGCATCTAGCAAGTAATGAAAGTGATGAACATTTATGTGATACTGAACAATCAACGCTATTTTACCCTCAGCTTTAGTACGGACTCTAAATGAGATCATAAAGAAACAAAATAAATCGAGATATGGTTGGATGAGGATTAAAAGCTCACTGGAAGAGCTGAAACATAACAAGCTAATTCTTCAGAACATATTCAATGGGATTGATAGAAAACTTTTCAACAGCATCAGTTGCTTTCAGCTTGAAAAGCAAACAGTAAAGAAGCGAGACGAAACCAAAATGAACGCAATAAATGATCGGTAGATAATTTCTGACGTGTTAAAGAAAAAGATAAGCCTAAAATGAACTAAAACATATAACACGAGTCTGAAATAAACCAAAACATATAACACTTATAGGTGCCTATCTATTTCGTGGCTACAACAATACACCTAACTCAACACACAACTACTAAACTCTGATGAGCCAAACATAGCGGCGGGCAGGCTTACAATCCCTATGGGCACTACCGACGCACGCTCCGCGCAATACCGGCATTTGTGGCTCGTCTAGGCTGATTTCAACAGTTTTCCGGCGCGGTTGGCGGCCTCTGACACATGTGCCTCGTTGGAGGCGGTCTACGGACATAGAGATAGGGCGCTGTGTCGGAAGGAGGCAGGGTACAGATATATACAGGGGATGAAGGGGCCGTACATATACCATAGAGGGAGAGGAGAGGGGAAGGGAAACGAGAAGCAAAGGAGCGATACAAATATTTTCCCTGAGAATGATGTAATTTACAGGGAGGAAGTTTGGTTGATATGGAAAGACGACAGCGGAGGATTGAGTGACAAGGTGAAGCAGCAAAAGCCAGCTTACAATGACAACAAGGCGTCAGCTAAGACATAAGTGCTTGCTGGCCACGCTCAGCCCACGGAAGGTATCGTAATTATCGCTCAAATATGATAACTGCAGAATGGACGTATTCCAAACCAAACTGCAAATACACGCCTAGTTGTATTTCCGTGGTATGAGCGTTGCCATGGCGAGGGTTTGGCCTGAGGCGCAAGGTGGGTTGAGGGTGGGTTGAGAGCCGGGGACGGTGCGATCCAACCAGCAGACACACATACAGGCAGGCCAGCCATGAGAGGACAAAACAGTGCCGGCGGTCGCAGTGGCGGGGTGAAGGGTGCGAGCGGAACAGATTAAGCCGTTCACTGCGGTCCAGCGCACTCACAGGCACACACAGACACATACATATAGTGATGATAGTGGTAGATATAGACAGTCACAGAGACAGACAGGTACGGCAGGAGATAGAGCTACTGCTGGCAACCACCAGCGGGAGGACATGCAACACGGGCGGCAGCAGCGGGGGAGAGGGGGCAGTATGTACACCGTGGTCGACCCACAGGGACCGGCGGGGGTTCTGCCCAGACACGGGGCAATATAGCACGGAACGTACGCTAAGAACACTGACTGAATATACTTCAAACAGACTGAACCCCGCAGACTGAACCAAACCAACAAAGCAGTACAGACTGGGTGGAACAAAATCCACAGTTCCCCACACTATATATCACATCACACAGAACTTTGGAGTAGACATCAATATACGAACATAGTTCACTTAGTTAGCTATTTCTGTGTGACACTGGACACATCATAATCCAGCGACCCACTCCCTCTCAAACACATACACCTTCCCTCCCCTCCCCTCCTCTCAACACCCCGCCATACACACAGGCACATCGTCACAGCACCTCCCTTCCCCGCTCACCTTGGCGCTTATCCTCTCGACCTGTCGGTTCTGGTTGTCGAGCTCCGATCCCATATCCATGGCCATGTTACGCAGGTTGCCCACCATGGTGTTGACCTGTTCCATGTTGCCCTCCATCTCATCCTCACGGGCGTCGTTGGTAATCCTGAGACGACGAGCAGACGGTCAGATGAGGGGAAGGAGATAACGCATCGGCGGCGCAGGCATGTTTATACGAGAATAAAGCTGAGTTAGAGTGCTCTCAAACATCGGCGGGAGGATAGCTTCCAAACCCCAGACTTTAGATGAATCAGTACAGCTGGCGGCTGGCGCTGTCTTCAAACACACAGTGTCATACTGTTATGAGCGGCTTACAGCTACACCCCTCCCCATCCCGTCCCTCCATGATGTTCTGTCTGACCGAACCTGGCGGCCTCAGCTCCACACTGTGAGTGTCCCTCAACCCCAGCTCTATCCCCGCCGACGTCAGTCCCACACTGTGAGCCCCCGGTGACACACCTGCCGATGTACCCGCCGCCGGGTCCCATGCCGTTCCTGTCGTCCATGACACGCTGTGGCTGGCTGTTCACCACCTTACCGTCGTCATTGCCCTTCCAGGTGCCGTCGTCCTCCTTGAACTGGCCTCCCTGCGGACGGCAAAACAGATAGCGGTACTCAGAGAGCTTCATAGATGGCAGCACCAGGAGCAGAGCTACATTTCGCACGGGATCCATATCAAACAGAAGGCATTACGGTGGGTGATATAAGAGGATATTATTTCCAACCAAACTGCATTCGCAAACAACGGAATGTTCGTTCAACACCCGATATCCGTAAAAGCAACAAAAGAAGTGCGATGACACCAGACGTAAGCTATTGCTTTCAACGCTTGCGAAAAAGGAGCGACACCAGCGGAGCTGAAGTGAAGCTGAACCAGCGGAGCTGAAGCCGCTCCGGGACACCCTGCAGCTGAGGGGAAGAGCTAACCGACAGCGCACCCACCTTTTTCCAGGGCAGGACGCAGAGGCCGCAGCATTTCTCCATGCCGGTGAGGTTTTTCTCGGCCTCGCGCATGTCGGCGTTGATCTGGTCCATACCCTCCTCGATCCTATCCAGTTGCTCTGTAAGTGGGGGATGAGAGAGGAGCGGGGAGGGGGAACGGCGTCATACGGGTGGGCATTGAAAGGCACACATGCGCAGTACAAATGTCTATGCTTATGCCGCGGATGGGTCGCTATATGTCACTAGAAGGCCAGTTGCTTTCATAAAAAACCACAATGAAACGTTACATTATTTGAGGACAGGTTAGCGTGGGATAACAGAAAGCAATCATAGTCACGGCGTTAGCTGGCAAAGACGGCGTTATTCGTTAATCAAAATCCGAATAAATGTTGTAAGGAATAAGGATAAAATAAAACAAAAATAAACAGGCTAGTACAAAAATAAGAGCAGTTAAGATGCAAAACACCAGCTACTTAAGCTAAAACGCCGATTATAAATATGTCTCGATAAGACAAAAGCTGCAGATGAGAGCATTAAAATTTAGAAATAGAAAATGGACGTGTTATTCACAATGCTAACAGCGCTGCCATGACAAGGTATGGGTGCACATGATACACTTCAAAATTGCTTACCGCCTTGAGCTTGCAAATTAACCATCGTCTTTGCTCCTACGTCTTGACTCTAGAAATAAAACAAAACAAAAAATCAAAGAAACATCCTTCAATAAAAACATGCATCGAGGAACAAAAGAACGCCAAAAGCAAAACAAATAAACCACGCTTGACATTTTCGCATGCAAGTCCTGAAAAACGCTACATTGTGAAAATGGCATGCGAGTCAACATCAATATCAACAATGAAATGTCTCCTAGAGCAAGCAATCATAGATACATATCACATATGTCACGCAGTATATATTCCTGGACGGCTTTCAACTCCCACAAACGTGATCGATAGCGTATGAAAACAATACCTAGGCGCCAGGCCACCGTCGGTGTGTGTATTGTCAGTGTGTGTTTGTTTTGTTTCTATGTAACACCCAACTACACACCGAAGCAGAGGACGATTTTGAAGATAAGCGGGAGACCATTCCATGATATAAGAATAAAAATATCTTCCAACACCACCACAAAATCAAAGATTGAACACACAAATATGTAGTGTAGTAAATGTCCAAACTGCAAAAATGTGAAAAAACCACAAACGGAAACCGACCAGTATTCAGCACCGCACTCCATCAAAGTACAAAAACAAACCCGTTTTCAATGTCCCACATCACCCATCACCAGTTACCCAACACCAGTCCCGTCACACACGAAATCACAGACAGTACTGGCCCTCAGCAAAGGTCACCGGTACACAAATATGTCCCCCTCTGCGTGGCCGGCGCCTGCAGACCACCCGCACACTCCTGCACTCCGTGTCACTCCGGGTTACTCGGTGTCACTCACCACCCTGCTCGTCCAGCAGACACACCACCTTGATGCCGGCGTCGCTGGCCTACGGCAGGGACATCGGCACGGCTCGTAACGGGACTGAGCGTACTTACAGCAGAACGGCACACGGAGGCACTGACACGGCACGACAAGAGCACGGAGCACAGTACAAAATACAGAGCACAGATCGGACAAACGAGCACAACATGTACGGAGCACAAACCAGCACAGCACAACCCTTTCATAGAACTGACCAAAACAGTCTCAGCTATTGGAGCACAGCACAGAAGTTGTGAACCACAGATCAGTCTGAACAGCTCGAACAGACACTAAAGCTGCCTAGTTATGAATAGGAGAGACCGCTGCGAAGGTCTCCGATCTACGCCGAATACAAATAGACTCCCTAGAAGTGTTGTGCCTCCTCGTAAATGCGTTATGTGTGCCGCAGGTCGAACTGTCTGACGGTCTGACCTTTAGCGGTCGACGCTCCTTGATGTGGAGACGAGTACACGAAATTCTGGCATTGGTATATAAGTTCTTCAGAGATGCTTGCATAATGCATAAGACGCCTGGAGGCATACTGCGCCGCATGACTTGTTTATTAACCTCTCCCTAGATGTCACTAGCATCAAGCGCCTGAAGTGATACTGCGCCGCACGACTGATGTTTACAATACGTCCGCTAGATGTCCCTAATGTCAGCGCCTGTGAGGATACTGCGCCGCGCCGCCTGCGTTTGCAATGCGTCCGCTAGATGTCTCTAGTATCGGCGCCTGAAACGATGCTGTGCCGCATGACTCGTGTCTACAATGATCTCGCTAGATGTCGCTAGTGTCGACGCCTGGACGGATGCTGCGCCGCACGGCTCGTATTTCTTTTCGCAAAGGACTGTCGCACACGGCGCGTTGTCAGGCCGGCACATCACATTACCAGTTGACCTCATAAATACTTCACCATGGAGTGGCCGGCCAGATCATTCCAACTATCACAGCTCTCTGCTGATCTGGAAATCATACGATGACCGTCCCGAAATTCCCGGATGGACGATCTCCAACTGCCCTCCCGGACGAGTCGCTTCCAACCCGTCATCACCATCTGCTGGCCTCTTTCCAGCACTCAGTCCGCGTCAGCCGTCAGAGCACCAAGCCGTGGAGGCCCCCGGCGGACACAGCGTGGGCGGACAGCTGTTGTGTCCGTGACTCCGAGTGTTGTCCATACACGGGACAGACGTAGGGTAAACCGTCAGGGGTGGGTAAGCACTAAGCAGCTCTCCGATGTCCACAACACTGACCCGAGAGGGTCCACCCCGCATCACGTCAAAACATTAATATTATCCTGTTTGAAGTCAGGCGCCCGGCTTCTTTTGTCACCAGTCTCAGGTGAGTGAAGTGAGTGAAGTATCAGTGAGCTGAGCTAGGCGAGATTGGCTGTAAGACGGCCAAGAAAAAGCGCTGTATCGCCACATTGGCACTGCTAGTAATACCTACAGCTTCATGTCATGACTGTCATGCGTTCTGATGAAATCCGTCTCCGACGACGTTCACCGTGGTCCTCCGCTAGACCTCCACTGGTCCTCTATACCTGCGCTGGCCCTCCGTGGTCCTCTCCCCTCATCCGGTCCCCTATCGATCGGCCCTGGAGCCCCAGTAACCCCGCCGCCCCACCGGTGACCTCCACAGGGAGCTCCGGTGCTGCATAGGGCGGTCGACTGGCCGACGGATCTACCACAGCAGGGGCCGGTAGACCCAACACACACAAATAGTGCCGTTTGATCTGTCCTAGGCCGATGATGTTTGGAGGTGGTGGTCAGCAGCAGTGACAGAGGAACTTCCACTGTCGTGTCTCCAGACCTAGTTCACATGTGACTCGGTGCTAGCCAGGAAAGCCAGGTTCTACACTCGTGATGTGACTTGTAAGCGGTTGTCAAACAACACACAAGCTTGACATAACGGATTGATCCACAACAGTGCAGTCTTCAAGCAGAGGGCGGACCGCTTTCCTTTTACAATGTTTTGTAAGAAAGACGATATTTACAACCTTGTTTTCGCCAAACCACCTGCTGTTGAAATACTTTTCAATTGCCTCCTTTATTTCTAACATTAGTCTACCAAAACTTTCGGAGCACAGGTACTAAACTGCTAACGAATCGCATTTCCTTACTACTGGTTCAATGGATTCAGCAGCATCTCTTGCCCAGCCGATATTTCAAATGCGGAACCTGCGAAACTTTAGCTGACTCGTTCGGAGGGACCATCAGTACAGGAAAAAGTACCTGGCATCTTTGTAACATGTAAGCCGCCGTCTCAGGCGCAGCTGACCGCACTCGGACGCGGCCGGCCGGGTCAGAGACGCGGCCGGCCGGGTCAGAGGGCAGAGGAGCCAGCCGACTTGCAGAGGAGCCGCCGCCGCCGCGGCGTATCGAGCAGTGACGTCACCCGGAGCCGACGGCGGCCCACGGACGATAGCCGGCAACAGGGGATGACCGCCGCAGAGGTCAGAACGGCCGGCGCAGTGGAATGGAATGAGAGTGGAAGGGAACAGTGCGCAATGAAGGGAACTCAGAGTAGCAGGATTGAATGTTAGCAGCAAGTGGGCGGCGCCAGACATGGTCTTCGGGCGGGCGCTAACAGGAATGGGATAGCGTCAGCAGATGACATAGCCAGAAACTGGGCAGACGCCAACAAAGAACTGCCGACTTTCTCCTTGACTAATGTCGATCTCTTCCACACCAATGACGACGGTAGCTTCGGCGCTGGAGCTAACAGCGCTGTGAGCGGCTTCGTCCGTTCAGGCGATGGAGCTAGCGTCGGCGGCTGGTTATTCCATGAGTCCGTCGGCTGATGAAAGAGGAAGCTCGCCGGGAAGTGGCGGAAGCCCGCTCCACTAAGCATGAGTCTGACAGCATCACAGGCAACTGGTGGCCTCCAGACGTCAGTGGTAACTGGTTGCCTCTGAGTGCTGGGCCTGGCAGGATGCTGCGCACAGTGATGCAAATGGGGTTCACGAGTGGCCATAAATACGAAAAAGGCCCAAAATTCAAGTTCACTTAATCGAATAAATCGTAATATGGTCAGTCAGGCAAATGTTTGAGGTGTCTGAAAAAGTATGATTTTAATGTTTTTGTCAAAACCGGCCTCGTGTAGGATTGTCAGAAGTCGAGACATTTTCGATGTCGTAAAATGACTGTCAGGTACTTGAAATTCAAGTGCCGCTAGCGTGCGTTCATGTCATACAAACTGCAAAAATTATACATGAAAATGATCCCCGAAACCTGCTGCTTCTAATGCCACGTCATAAAAAGCCGTATCTATTTTGGTTTGGCGGTGAGCTAACTATTTGTAATCATGTTGCAACCGCACTTTTTTTATCAAAAATATTTGCTTTCAATTCACCTACAGCACTTCACACAGTGTGTGCCCGTTAGTGCACCATATCATAGCATTCCCTAATCATTTCTGAGTCGCATAGTGAAAGAATTAAGGCGCTAGCACAGGGCTGACCGGCGCTACAGAAGTTTTCGTCCGGCACGGTCGGGTGCCGCGGCGCAGCGGGCGGCCCGGGGGGCGGCCGCGCCGCCGCGCCGTCCGGACGCCGCGCGACGGCACCCACCCGCCCACTGCGCGCCCACTGCGGCACCCGACCGTCCGGACAAAAACCTCTGTAGCGCCGGTCAGCCCTGTGCTAGCGCCTTAATTCTTTCACGATGCGACTCAGAAATGATTAGGGAAGGCTATGGTATGGTGGACTAACGGGCACACACTGTGTTAAGTGCTGTAGGTGAAACGAAAGCATTTTTTTCTTAGTAAAAAACTGCGATTGCAACATGATGACAAATAGTCAGATTACCGCCAAAGCGAATGAGATACGGCTTTTTGTGACCCGGCATTAGAAGCAGAAGGCTTTGGGGATCATTCCCATGCATAATTTTTTTCAATTTGTACGAAATGAACGCAAACCAGCGGCGTTTGAACTTGCGAGTGTCTGACCGTCATTTTACGACCTAGAAAATATCACGACTTCTGACGATTATACACGAGGCCGGTTTTGACAAAAACATGAAAACCATGTGATTTCAGATGCCCCAAACATTTGTCTACTCGGCCATATCGCAATTAACTCGATTTGGTAAACTTGACTTTTGGGTATTTATGGCCACTCGTGAACCCCATTTGCATCACTGTGCTGCGCCAGGATGCCGCGCGGGGTGCGGGCTACCGCCTAGTCCCGTGTACCAGAGCAAGGTTCAG